GCGGTGGCCCAGCCCCAGGGCCACCTGGCTCAGGGTGCAGCTCTGGGCACTCGGTGCTGGCACACAGCTCCTGTCACAGCAACTCATGGACTTGCTGGATGGATCTGGGGTCCGATGTTGCGATTGGATACAGCTTTGTGTGTGGGACGTACCTGATGCTGCCTGCCTTGGGGTGCTCCTTCCAGCACTTCGGGCTGCCGCACGGCTCCTGCCACGCTGACCTCTGTCACCACCCGTGGATGCAGAGTCGTCTCATCAGCTCCTATCCAAAGGCAGTGGGACGCGCCTCGAGGTGGGCAGTTCGCAGTCTTTTTATCGCTTTCCTTTGCCCAGGGCCCTTCCCAGTGTGAGCTCACTCTTGTACCTGCACTTTAGGCAGAGCCAGGAACTTTGGCATCCATCTCTGCGCTTGCAGCGAGGCTGCGTGGTCGGCTACCACCATCTCAGGGCTCACATCAGAGCCATGTGGTCACCGAGGCCATTCCAGTGCAGACCCGCAGTTACCTGCTAAGGCTCAATGGTAAGGGAAGTAGACCTCAAAGAAACAATTTAAGTCTGCCCCGGCTGAGTAAACAAAGTAGGCCCTAAAAAGCAGTTAAGGGCTGGTTGAGTGAACAAGGGAAGAAATAAATCAATACAGTAGTTCACAACAGAATACTGCTTTATCTTACCAATCTTACAGAACGCTAATTTTAGGATTGCTTTAGCTTATTAATGTAAAAGAGGGCTGAGCTTGCCATGTGAGTAAAAAACAAGTATAATGTGCACGTTCTAAGGGATGAGGTGAAAAGTTTGAACTGATGAAGACTACCAGCCTTCCTCTTGAAAACCCCCCGACGACCACCAGAGACCACTGGACTAATGCCAAATGGGGGGGGCGAGGGAGGAGAATATGATCATGATTTCCAAGTTCTAATTGGAATAATAACCACCCATTCCTGGAAAGAATGAATATGTATGAGCATTTAATGTATGCAGACTGTGAAGTTTTTGTCCCTGGTTGCACAAGTTTGGTGGAGCGTTCCGCCTTGTGCCCAGCGCTGAAGAAACAAATACCTGCTACTCAGAGATACAAATCTGTGAGTAGTTGTTTTCCAGATTTTCTCAGCATCCATTTGGCGACCGCAGCAGGACACTCTCTGCTTAATTATGTAATATTAAGTCCTTTAAAACAGACAAAGATTATCAACCTTACACGAGATAGCGAAACTACTACTACTACCAATTTCTACAAAGCTTTGATTTTATGATTATTGGTTAAACCTGAGAGTTAATCTCAACTGTTTGAAATTAGCTTATTTTCATTTTAGGCAAATGGAAGGTGTTTGCAAATGATTTTACACTGCTTTTGTAAAAGTCTTTTGCTAAATCCAGTCACAAAAAAGTGCTGAATTATTTTTAAAGCCACATTTTCTTTCAATGTGAGCAGAGTGTTAAGCTTCTTACACACAACTATAAAAGTCCTGGGTTTCATCTCTTCAGAAGCATTTCCAATACAAAACTTAGAACTAGTAGAGAAATGTAGATGTACCCACACATGCCAGGAAAAATCATAACAGAATCACACCTCTTTTACTGGTGTGCTGACTTGCTATTTGTAAGCAGAGACTTGAGACACAAACCAATTGTAAATATGAAGTTTTAGGTGACAATTTAATCCAATTAAATTGTGCTCTAAATCTGGGCTTCTGGTGCTAACACTGAAGTTTCAAACTATGCTTTTATGTATGCTGCAATTAATATCACAATGGAATATTGGGATCACTGGTTCTTTGGTATAAATTAATGTGGATCTGGTTTTAGACCATGAGCATAGTTCATCTTTTTTGGACAGCACTGGGCACTGCTGCAGTTTGTAGTTAGAAAAAAATCAAGAGAGAAACAGTAATTAAGAGAAGAACATCAATTGAAAACAAGTTACTATGCAGCCCAGCATCAGCATCACAATCAGGGTCACAGGCACTGGACCTGTTTTAGGAAAACACTACTAGAATGTTTAAGTGCCATTACAGACAGTGACAGAGGCCCAGCAGCAACCACACTGAGCCAAAGCTGTAGCTCTTGATGATGTTGACATAATAGTTTACTAATAGTGAGAGCAAGAAACTGGTAAGGGTTTTTTGCTAGAACAAATTTTCACTATTTATCAGCTTATCACAGGGTCAGATAATCACTGGAGCCAATGCAGGGCAATGTGGCTGGAGGTAAAGAAGTTTGTGGCTTCATGAAGCTCAAGCCAGAACAGGAACAAAGAAGACTGAGAGTTTTCTGATCCCATTGTGAAGGGCAGATAGACCAACAGAACCATTGTAAAGCAAAGCATGCAAAACTGGGACAGGAGCAGGTTTCAGTATGCATGGTGGCCTCTCCCAACAGCCTCTGCCACTACTGCTATTGGGACTGGCCATGCCTAGACAGGTAACACAACATAGTACACATATTGCCAAGGTAGCCCAGAAAGCTGCAAGTTATCAGGAAGTACAAGAGTAGAAAATCCTGTGAAGTCCAGATCAATATATTTTAAGGTGGAAAAAAGTCCAGCTGTATTTGAGCAAGGGCACAATTTAAACCCAGGCTGGTCAAAGCAGGTATAAATGGAAAGTTAGAGGTTCTCTCTTGACTTGCTGATGCCTTTTCTTTGGGAAGCACAAGCTAAGCCAAGATGAAACAAATAATATAACTATGCTTTTAAACTTTTTGCCCCTCAGCACTATGTGGGACACTCTTAATACCTTACACCAACCATCCTGCTGGTAACATGTGCTAATTGAGAGCTGGATACTGAGGCTGGTGCTATTATTATTCTGCTACTATTCTACTCCTTCCCTTAAACTGCTTTGTCAGACTTCAGTCACTTGAGACAAGTTCCATTATAGGAGACATTAGGTGTATTTAGGTATTTGCCAGATAATAGAGTGAGGTTCTTAGGTATCAATCTGTACAGATTAGTCTAATCTGCTGCTGCTGCAAACCTTGTTTCCAGCAGTAAAGTAGACAATAGTTTCAGATTACCTGCAATAAGGTTAAACTATGGGCAATATTATGTTTTGAGGTGCAAAGAAAAACAAAATAGAAGAATGCATTCCTAATACTGTCTTCACCTTTGCCAGATCAGGGAGGTATCTGAAATGGGATTTCAATTTCTCTAGAAACTATTCCTAGTGGATTTGGCTCAATTTTAATTGCTTTTTTCCAAATGTTCTCTTAAGTATTTTGGAATGCAGGATACAACAGAAGTTCAGTTAGGAATGTTATTTCCCAAATCCAACAAAGCACAAAAAAGTAACATTTCAGTATTGGATCAAAGTTTGGTTTTCTCACATTAGAACAAGATTTCCAGAAGCAAAGTCAAACAACTCAAAATTTTAAGGATTCTATATAAAAACGAAGATAATGAGCCAATGAAGTTAATGACACACAAGAGCCAGTAGCTGTTGTCTGGGTCTAAAGCAATGCAGCTTTTCAGTAGTATTTTTCAAAAAATATAGACATGTTTTTTATTTAAACTCTTATAGCTCAACCTATCATCCGAAATACTAAGTAAGTTTTCCCAAACTTACCTTTCATTCTGTAGGACAGCAGATATCCTGGATACAAGCATTGAGAAAGGCAGAGCAATACTGTGTCTGTTCATGATATAATGTTGAATTTGTGTCTTATAAGAAACACAAGCTGAAGTCTCACTGAAGGACATAAGCACTTCAGACAAGTGCTTAAAGCTCTGCTGAACACGGAACAGTGTAAATCCATACTTAGGATGTTTTCCTACACTATGGCCATGAAGAGTTGGATTTTTTTTGGTATAAGGCTCTCCTTGACTTTGAGCTGAATATCAAATATGAGCATAATTAACTGCTTGATAAAAATGAATCCAACACCTTAAAATTAATGGCAATGATCTGGATATCTGGCCTGGTCCCAGCTGATTTGATCCCATGAAATGCTACACTCTGTCATTAAAAGATAATAGGGCAACTTCCATAACTGGAATTCTTATACTGACAAGAGAGAAGATATCCAAGCTGAAGTATTAAATAGGTAAATATCTTGGATTAATTAAAATTATATAAAAATATTATAATTTTCAGCTTCTTGTTACGGAGCAATAATTCAAACAGAAGTCAGTTGAATTCTGGCCCTTCCATTTGAGATAAATTTTAGAAAAAGGTATGTTCACTATGACAACTATCACACTCTTTATAAATAAGCTATTAGAACTCCAATGTAACACACAATCTGTTTCGGGTAGCAAAATCTATTTTGCATACTGCAAATTTCAGACTTCAAACAGACTGTTTTTAAAACCATGAAGCTTTGCTAAGTCATCTTCAGTTAAGCTGCAATAATTCAGAGTAGCTGAAAATCCTGTGCAACTTAGGGTTTGCATTTTTTTAAACTGCAAAAATATCTAAACTTCTCTGAAATTGCTTATTAAAAATATATGGAAAGTTCACTTTTTCCACAAAAAGTAGATTATAATAATACTTCAAGTATTTACAGTTTATTTGAATGAAAATTATAATAAACTTTCAAATCTGGGGATAAAATCATCATTACTATATCATTACTTAATACAAGTTCTGAAAATTCCAATAATTCTTCACGTTCTGTTGTAGCAATGTAACAGCACACTATCTTTCTTTCTACTCCAGCAGGCTGGAGGTGAAAGTGTTTTTCACCATTAGAAACTGAGATTCTCGGTGTGATCGCTTCAGCTTCGCACGACGGTTCTGGAACCAGATCTAAAATGGAAAGGGAAGACAATGCCTGTCAGAACAGCAGCACTGGAAACACAATAATATTTGGAACTTCAAAATATTTCACAGCTTTACAATATTTTGTGTGATGGCAGCAGTTTGGAAGTTCAAACAGATTTAAAATCTGCAGATGATGGCATGTAGCTACCTGCTGTCATTTTGACACCATAGAAAAAGAAAATAACAGCTCCAGTTTAACTGGAAAGTGAGGACCAGCTTCAATGTAATTAATGTAAAAACTGGTATTAAGTTCAGCAACTCTGAATCAGACCCTGGAAGATCCTGAACATCTGGAATTCACAGGAGTTATTTCTTCAGCTGCTCAGCTAATTGCAACATCAAGTTTCCCATTAAGCCCAATATAAGACTTGCATCAAAAGCTTGATAAACATCATGGGGAAGCCCAAGTTCTAATGTTTATGGAATGCTTCTTATCACATTGGGCTATGTAGAAATCAATAAACAATACCACTCTGCTTTTTGCCAGATGAAGACACAGGTTCAAACACTGGTTTAACATATCTATGCTCTACTGACAGTCTCACAAGATCATTGTAGGCTAAAGCCAGTCATACAAATGATTTCAATATCTGTTTCAGATTTTTTTTCAAATGTGGTGACAAGAATAGTACAAACATGATTCTAAAACGTGGAAGGAAATGATCAAGTTCTGCACATGATAACTAGAGATTAACAGAGCAGCTATCATAGAAGCATTAGAGTAATTAATAAATTATAGTGATGAACACCTCATCAATGCTATGGAAGAAGGTTTTAGATTTCGGAAGGAATTCACTGGTTTGCATTTCACAAGTCATTAAGGCATACCACATGTATGTACATCGATTTAAATTGAGATTATTAATATTATAGCTATGGCCATCAAACTACTCACTTATATAACCAGAGAGTGCATACAGATGGAATTGCAGAGAAATTCAAATAAATTTGCAATTACCTGGATCCTGTCTTCATCTAAATCTAATTTCCGAGCTAGCTCTTCTCTAATATCAATGCCAGGGTAGGAGTTCATTTTAAAAACATTTTCCAAGACTTCAATCTGAGGAGATTAAAACACACTTGTTGAATAGTTACCACTACCTACATAGTAGTAATAGAGAAAATAAATACAAAAAAACCAGTTTAGTTTGTTCAACAAGAGACTTCTGAGCAGTGTTGGCACAATTCTGAGACCATGCAATACACCCAGGTCTGCTGAAAATAGGAGCATTCCTGTTAATTTACACTAGTTCCTGATTACATCTCTCTCTGCAGAGGTACATCACACTGGATCAGTCTGCTGTTACAGGCTGCTAGTAAAATGTTAATTTTACTAAACTACATTGCTATTCATATGTTAAATGCTGAGAAAATCCCCACCTGGTTTCTAGTGAATGCAGTTCTTGGTCTTCTCCCCCTGTACCAGCTGAGTTCCCGTTTGAATGACAACCTTTCAGTGACTGAGAAATATTTGTCACACTTGAAAACTTTTTCCTCTTGCACTGGATCACTGTTAGCATGACATAATGGCTTTTCATAGCAAACAACAGGGATTTGCAGATGGGGATTACTGTCATCACCTAAAACTAGAAAAAAAACAAGCAAAGGAGAGCTTCAATTAACTAAAAACATGCGAATATTCTGAAAGAGTAAAAGCCTGAGGGTTACAAACCAGACTGACTCACCCAAGTTGGTGCATGCATCCATCCAGGGTCTGTGAGGCTTCCCAGCTGGAATGCCATCCTTTTTCTGCTCCAGTCCCAAAATGCTTTCAATTGAGAAGGAGCACTGTGTGGATTTATTTTCCACGAAAGCAGCCACCTTCCGGAGACTCTGCTGCGACGCATCAGCAGCACAGAGCGCTGGCCCAGCCATGCCTTCGTCCTCAGCCAGCATAGCAGGGACACTGCACTCGCATTTCTCCACAAGTCCTTATAGCTGTGTTGACAAGAGGGTTGGATTTGCAACGTCATTAATTAAAATCTTTTATTAGAAAGTTTTAGCATGTCAATGAAAACTCTCCCACCAAGAGGCACGAGGAGTTAATTGTTTATTTGTTTGCAAGTAATTAGCAACTAATGGTGACACTAGGGGGGCCACCAAGGGGGACAAAAAGTGTTATCTCTCCTAACCAGAGCATGGACTTAACTTTCTCAAAAGAAGCTGTGCACAAATATAGTACTTCTCTTTTATTTGAAATCATTAATGTATAAAATCAGTTTTTAAAAAAACTTTATACTCTAATGGACTCCACTTACCTAAACATAGCAGCATGATAGGAAACCAGTCAAGTAATAAGTAATCTCATTTAAGTGAATTTCCTTCCAAGGAAATTTAAAAAATAATCTCTTAATGCTATTAGGGTAATCCCGATGAAAATGCCTCTGTTTTTTCATATGCATATGTAATGGTGAACGTGGTCAATAAAACAACAATAGCTTTTGGCATAAGGCAGTGTGCAGTGGGTTGGCAATGTTGTCAAAGCTCAGTGTAATTGCCTTCCAAGTGCCTGGATTAGTTAATAGGAACAGTTGCACCAAGTATTTTAAATAATTCATGCATTCATGTTTTCTTATTAAAATAACTTCGTTGCAGCATTTTTTTTGTAACATACCAGATGTGAAATTTCCTGATAATTCTTTACAACATAAAAGCAAAACTTAGAGTAATAGAAGCAGGACACTCAAATTTACTGTAAACATCCTTTTACTGCTGATGTCCCTCCCTTCTTGGAGGTTTATGGCTAATAGAAGTATATTTAAATCCTGTAGAGCAAGCACTTAAAATTACCAAAAAAATTATGAGTGATGGGAAGAAAGGAGATAAAGGCTTTGTAATGAGGCTCAAAGTCTGAAAACAGAATTCTGATTTCATCCTTTTTAAAAAAAGCACCAACTGTAACATCTTTACATTCAAGCTCATCTGTCAGCCACACAGCAGTTTACGTGTCACATGATCAAACCCAGCTTTTGGTTCAGCATAACCTCTACAGAAATTCCTCCTTTTCTTATTTTGGACAAAGCTTTATTTTATAACATGCAAAAATGGGAATGGTATTTTAACTTCAGGATGCAAAAGTGACTCCTCTTTTACTGGGCTGACTTGGTGTTGTGCAAGAAGATTGTTGTCAAACCAAACTATTAAGGAGAGTGACAATTCAAGAAGTGACCTTACCCAGGACACCTTCTCAGCACATATCAGTGGATCTTGAAGCAGCATCAATACACCTGAAGCCTTGAGCAGCCTGCTCTGGTGGGAGGTGTCCCTGCCCAGGGCAGAGGGTTGGGACTAGATCATCTCTAAGGTCCATTCCAACCCCTAAAATTCTATGATTCTATGAAAACAATACATCTCCTTCTGTATTGAACTTGGAGATACTTGCAGATTACTCTGTCCCAAAGAGGTGAAAACCATGATCATCAATAGAGAGAGACACTCTTGAATCCAGAAACTAATGGACAATAATAACTTTAATAATACAAAACCCTCCTGAATGATTATAATACAAACAGCTGGTTTTCAAATTCAGCTCGCTATTTTTTTTTTTAAAGGACTTTAATAAGCAACACAAGCACTGACACAGAACACATTTCAAAAAATATATATTTGTCCTGGATTAATTTAATGAACCTGAGCCACATTGCTGAGACTCAGATTACCACACACTCCAAGTCCCAAACAGGTAAATACCTTCACAGGTGTTCTCTTCAGAAGGCTGCCAAGAATTACCAGTAAAGATAAGGATACAAGATGGTAAGAGAGACATTTATGAGAAGCATATATCTTCCATATGTCTTCTCAAAGCTAACTACTAAGTTAACACAGTTATTATAACTTATTTTTGGTCTCTCTGAGACTGTGGAAGATGGAAAAGAAACATCCTTCAGGATAGCCTGCTTTTAACTCCCAGGTGGAAACAATTTTTTTCAGAGTTTTTAAATGACTTTTCAAGGAAAAAAGTTCTTGATAGCTCTCAAAAAGAATTTTCATAAAATAGGCCAAAGGCACAGGTCAGGAGCTCCCTGAATGCTGCCATCCTGTGTTGGGGCTTCCCAGCTGTTAAATTCCTTCAGCAGAGTTACAGGAGCAAGAAACTCTGTTGTTATTATTAAAATACTAACATTACAGTCATGTGTTCAAGGTTGAATTGAATCAGACCTGGAGACTGCAATGCAGTCACTGAAACATATCAACACTCCTGTTTTTAAGGAGTTCATGGCTGCAACTGCATATAGGAACGGAAGTACCAATTCAGGAGGTGACAAGGCAGATGCTCACACTGTGCTCTCCAATTTCTGTGAAACTGAAACACCATATATCTGTGAGACATTTATAAAGCCAGCGCAGCTTCACAGAACTGTTCATAAAAAAATTCACAAGAAAAGACAAATTATTCTAGAGACAAGAAGTCTGCTTTATAGCAAAATTCCATTATATCCCTGGAAGTGTGCAAGGTCAGGTTGGATGGGACTTTGAGTGACCTCATCCAGTGAAAAATGTCCCAAAATTGGGGCTGGAACTAGGTGATCTTCAATGAGCCCTTCCAACACAAACCATGTTGGATCCTTAAACAACATATATGTGGAGATAAATCTACTGGAGGGTCTGGCTGCAGGTCTGGCATACAAACATTGCTGGAGTTCCCTGGAGAGAAGCTTGCTGAGCTGTAGAAGCTATTTGTTATCAAGACAAACAGTCAACAGACCTTTCTGTAAGAAATGAGGATGAAGATATATTTTCCACAGGACAGAATACTACAAGTTTTAGGTTCAAGAATAGCTGGTACTACAGATTAAATTTCTAGGAATTCTCACTGAAAGTGTGAAGAGACCTTCAGCCTTCCCTTGAAAACTGTATTTCATTAATTTGGCTCATTAGAAATGATCAATACTTGCCTTGTGAGATTACCTATAGAGTTTTAGCTAAATACCCTTTGTAGGGGCAATTAGAGCAACACAACAAACATTAAGTTGAGAATCCTAAGTAATCAATAATAGGAGAACTCACTGCTCCTTGGATATGCAAATCCAATCCTCTTACAGCATCACATACTTGATGAGGCTGCAAACTAATCTCCCTTTCAGACTTTGCACCACTGTTTTTTTGCCCAGGGACAGTGGAGTTCATCTGTTTAGTAGTTGAAGCTCTTGTTCTTTAAAGATGTGAAGCCTCTAAGGGCTGTTTATACCAGCTGAAGAGACCACACCGAGAGCTCTTGGGGGCTGTGGTCTGAAACCCCAATCCTTACTCTTGCTGGGTCACCTTTCACTACAGCCTGGGCAATATTTTCAGCATTTTAAAAAGCTATGAATGGTATATAATCTTTCTTGCTTATTTATTACACTCCAAAAATTTGCCTTTCACCTCATCTTTCCCACAGCTTCTTTACCCCCTGCACCAGTATGTCACCACCTCAGAAGTTGTGCTGCACTAGCTCCCTTTCAAATGTGCTTTGAACATGAATAACAAACATTATATTCAATGACAACTTCATAACTCAAAGGGGTTTTTTTAAGAAAGAATACCTCAAAATGGACACACCAATTTTCATGACCAAAAGCAGTTAGCTATTTCTTGGCTGAAGCAAAAGATGTTTTGACCCAGAGAGATTAAGTGAATGCAGATAAATTCAAGGTAAATCCAAGGAAAAGTCTGAAAAACAGTGTGTTAACAAGTGGGGAAACATGCAAATAAAGCCTACCTTATCCAGACAGCTCCTTTCACCCTCCAGCAAAGGCAAAATGTTCTCTCCATTAGAACACACATCTGGCATCCCCTAAAGAGCTGTTGCCTGCTCTTCTCTCTGTTTACATAGTGCTAAGTGTTAGTTCTCCATATTTTTAAAGGCTTCTTAGTAGATATTTTGCAGAAAGAACAAACAAAATAACCCCCAAACACTCACCAACCCCACAAATAAAAGAAAAACCAAAAAAGCTTCTAAACCCACACTTATTAGAGAGTTCAGAGGGATTCTTCACTACTATCAAATCTCATCTGTTGCTGTCAAATTTGTAGCTCCAATAAAACTTTTGGATGCCTTGTAACATTTGTAAAAACGGACACTTAAGGTAAGAACAAGACTAGTAATATTTTACAGGATGTGTCAACATAAAGGATACATGAAAAAAGCTCTGTCCTGATTCCAAGAAGCCCTGGTATACTACAGAATTATTAGAAAGGTCACCCTCTTGGTACTGAACCAAATCATCAAACCAAATTGCTAAGATCAACAGAAACAAGACACATTATTATGTTACATCTCAGCTGGGACAACAAAGCACATTTCTGCATATTCAGGGTGTGTTGGTTAGTGGTTTGTTTTTTCTTCTACAAAACAATTCTCGGAGAGCTGTTCTCTATTGATAGCAGCTGAGAGATGTTTGGGGTTTTTCTTCTCTGCCACTTACAGATGTAAATATACAAAGCTAACTAAACCCCATTCTATTTAAAGTCACTGTCTTCCTGAATTCTGCTAGGGAAATGCATTTTACAGTACAAAACAGCCATTTCTTACAGGAGGCTGCTGTAAAACTCAGTCACAAACCAAAAAGCACATATATATAGGTCACAAATCAATGCTGGTGTGCTGTCACGTAATTACAGACACAAGACATAATCTTTGAGATGCCTTGTAACATAGCTCTGAATTATTGCCCTCATATGACAGGGAAAGAAAGAAGTGGTGTGACTTGCTCCAGTCAGGTGAGTCACCAGCTGAGCTGGTAAATGAATTGACTGAACAGAGTA